CTTCAACAGAATCGTGGAAGAAAATTTCCCAAAATTAAAGAAAGACATGCCCATACAAATACAAGAAGCATATAGAACACCAAACAGACAGGACCAGAAAAGAAACTCTCCATGGCATATCATACTAAAAACACTAAACATACAAAACAGACAATACTGAAGGCTGCAAAAGAGAAACAACAAGTCACATATAAAGGAAAAACCATTAGATTACACCTGACTTTTCAGTGCAAACTATGAAAGCCAGAAGAGCCTAGACCAAAGTATTCCCAGTCTTAAATGACTGCAGATGCCAACCTAGATTACTATACACAGCCAAAATATCTATTACAGTCGAAGGGGAAAGAAAAATCTTCCATGACATAAGTAGGCTGAAGGAATTCATGTCCACAAACCAGCTCTTCAGAGAGTTCTGGAAGCAATGCAAAGAGCTTAAGAAAGGAATGACTGTACCCAAGGGGTTGCGGAAAGAAATTCAATGAAGGTGTAACTGTGGAAAGTACAGTTATATCAAGAATGTAAACAGAAATAAAAATGACAGGATTCAATACTCATCTTTCATTAATAACTTTAAATATTAACAGCCTGAACTCCCCAGTCAAAAGACAGACTATGTGAATGGATTAAGAAACAAAACCCATCTTTTTGTTGTCTGCAAGAAACCCATCTCACTTTGAAGGACAGACACTATCTTAAAGTGAAAGAATGGAAAAAAATATACCAAGCAAATGGGACTAAGAAAAAATCAGGCATAGCAATTTTAATATACGACAAAATAGACTTTAAACTAAAACTAATCAAAAGAGATAAAGAAGGTCACTTCATTCTGATCAAAGGAACAATAAATCAAGAAGATATTACAATCATGAACATATATTCACCAAACTCTGGTGCACCCAACTTCATAAAAACAATACTACAGGACCATAAGACCCAGATTAATCCCAAACCATTTATAATAGTGAACTTCAATACCCCACTGTCTCCATTAGATAGGTCAACAGGGCAGAGAGTTAACACAGAGACATCTGAATTAAACAACACCATATATCAAATGGACCTAACAGACATCTACCGAGTATTCCACCCAAGCACCAAAGGACATACTTTCTACTCAGCACCCCATGGAACCTTCTCCAAAATCAACCATATACAGGGACACAAAACAAACCTCAACAAATACAAAAAGATTAAAATAATTCCATGCATTCTATCAGACCACAATGCAATAAAGCTTACAATCAACATTGGAAGAAGTTCTAATCACCTCATGAACACATGGAGATTAAACAACACACTCCTAAATGATGAATGGGTCAAAAAAAGAAATTAAGAAAGAAATATATATACATACTCAGGTACTAAGGATCTGAGTGTAACCAAATGTGACTAGTAATAATCAGATACATAAGGATTAAAGACACATGTGCAAACATGTAAGTGTTAGTAGCATTAAAATGTAGGAAACAGCATATCTTAAAATGGAATGGAGATCTTTTTAAAGGGTAAAAACTCATTCAATTTTATGTCTTACAGGGTTTATACTGAGTTCAATACTGTATCACTGTATTAATTCAACTGTGAACCTAAAACTTTACAACTACCTTTGAAAGAGATGTATCCTTGTTCTGGATTGTGTTACTGAATATGTTAAAGCTGTAATGAAATGCTACTTCTAATCATGTGGTTATTAAATTAAAAAAAAATTTAAATACATTAAATTTTTAAACAGAAAAAAATTAATCTAACAAAGATGCTCCCAAAATCATACTGCTAACACATGTCAATACAATAGCCTCTAATTTAATTCCCAACTGTCAATCCCAGCATTCCCAGGTTCACAGCCCACAAGGGGTCTATATGCCAGATGTTTTGAACTAAATCATACAATATGAAAAATATGTAAACGAATACTATAGAAACTGAGCCAGATAGCTGATCTCAGCAATTCTCTGAACTTTTCTCCTAACACCTGCAATTCCATACAATTTGGTGTCAGGGTCTTGTTCATGCTCAGGCACCAGGAGTTTTGCTCACCATTACCTCTGTACTATCAGTGCAAATGTCAGTACAGTGGGGAAAAAAAGGCCCACAGCATCTCACTGTTATTATAAAAATGGTCCTTACCTCACAGGTTCCCTGCAAAGTCTCAGAGAAACCCAAGTCCCCAGAGCTCTGGTAATCACATTTGTGAACTGCTGTTCTAACTCAATCTGACCAGAATTAATTTAGTGTCATGAAAAAAAGTAGTTTTTAAAATCTAAATGTATTAATTATGAGTGGGAACATCTCTAAAAGGATATTTGCAAATTACAAGATACATCTTATTCTGTAATTTTAGAGATAAAAAACGATCTATAAATCATGCCACGTGTGTCTCAAACAGCCTGTTTCCTCCGAGGGGCAGGGCCTTCTGAGGAGAATTGACTGTGAAGAGCTAGCCAAGGGAGGAGGGGCTTTCTGCACCATCTTGGATGGGGGCTGACCAGAGCACAGTGGCCAGGCACACAAGAACAAATGGCCTGGCATTTACCGACCTGGGGCAAGACTGCGGGCCCATGGTCAGAAGCTAGCGGTGACTATGGGCAGGCTGCAGGAGTACTCAGGAGTGGCAGGCTCACAATCTGGAATGGCAGGCTCTGAGCCACGGCGCAGAGCTGGGTACCAAGTGTTTATCTCTTTGTAAGTCACTCCACCCCCCAAGGGCATAAACCATAATAAAGTCACACAAAAATACATTATACGGTTTGTCTGATAGTGCAAGAGACCCCGAAAGAACTTGGGCAACAAAACTGGCATAGTCTGCAGGATAAAGTTGCTAAAAATGACAAACTGCCCAAGTTTGAAAAAAGCTAGCAAGCTGATGGCAACGCTGATATGGTTTTTCTAATGGATTATAAAATATGCACTAAAAAGGGGCCAGCCATGCAGAAGTGTGGGCCACAGCTGTGTTGTAAATGTGGGGGTATGTTCCAGGTATGTGAAGATTTGTTAAAGGTTGTCCAGAGGCTAGAAAATCTTTTATTGGCTCTGGTCACAAGTCATCCAGAGAAGGGGCATGGCCATTTTGCATAATAAAAGATGTGCCCCAGGCAGGGGAAGCTGAAAAGGCTAGGGAAGTCCTGGCAGACCCAGTTGCAGAGCTTGAGAGAGAAAAGAACAGAACACTTTAACTTGTGTAAGGTCCAAAGATTCAGAGGAAAAGGCAGAGAATAGTAAAAAAAAAAAAAAGATGACCTAAAACAGATGACCTAAAAATAAAAGTAACTAAAGCTGCCCCTCATATTCAACCATTGATACAAAAGGGAAACAAAAGCTAACAGTGCTGTAACTAGGAAATACTCCACGCTGGAACTGTTAAAACTAGGAAAAACTTACAAGCAAGCAATCAGAGCACCCCTAGCCACGTGGCTTGTGAGAGTATGGGACATGGGAGCAAATGACGTCAGTTCAAGTCTTTCAGAAGTTTCACAGCTGAGTTATATAACCACCCATCCATCCTTGCAATATAGGCTGTTCAACCTAGGCCAATGCAGGGGGGAGCAGTCCTTAATGGGGTGGCTGGTTGAAGGCATTAAAGATACATGGTCATCACCAAGGGAGACTAACATGATTAGCAGGGGCTGGAGGACTATAAAGGAGGGACAGGCATTTCTGAGAGAACTAGGCATAAGAAAAGCAATATATAATGTCCAGTTCACTCGGCCAGATAAGACTGTGTTCACCAGAGATATGAAGGAAAGCTTAATTCTGCTGGGACCTTGAGAATGGTATGGGGCTTTAATGGTTTTACTAAGCCCTTTAATGCGACAGGATCTTTGTAAAGTGAGAGAGGCTTGGAAAATCTAAATGATTCTGACTAGCATATAAAACGTGTCTGTGAAGTGAGAGAGGCTTTGGCAAATCTAAATGATTCTGACCATGTCTGTAAAATAACAGAGCACCCTATAAGAGATATAAAAAGGACCAGACCAAAGAAACGGTCCACTTGGGTTACTTGAAGACAAACATGGCAAGACTTATGTCAAGCCAAAATTCCCAGAAAAAAAATTGATAGAAAAACAAATTTAGTACTAATGAGTTTCTGGAAAGCTTTAAAATGAGAAGAACAGTTTACAAAAGGAATTCAAAGGATAAAAACTGCCCCAGGTGTGGTTAAGAATCCCCAAGGATTAAATAGGATGCATTTCTCTTCTGATATAGGCTATACTAGGGTGGAAGCAGGTTTTCCCACCAAGTTCTCTCCCGCCCCCACAGCTAGGTGTGGTCAATGGAGAAATGACAGACATGGCTACAGTTAGGAGGCAGACCCAGGGCCTGCCTGACTCAGGGAACCAACAGGTACAGCAGTGACAGGAGAAAGCCCCCTGCCTCCTTAGCCCAGTGCAGGGTCAGGCAACTGGAGCCAACTCCTGTCAGTGTATCAAGAATAGAATACAAAAAGACTCCATGTAAAACCCCCCAAGTGCAAAATGACTCCAAAGGGATAACTAAAGATGGTAAGAGCTAACCAAATTAATGCCTCATCCCCATGCTATGGTATCTAACAAGGATCTATGGAGAAAACAGTTAATACGAATGGATAAAACCTTTCCATGCTGTGTTAGACCTTGTCTATGATTGATTTAATATAAGATGTTAACCTTCCTTCAAGTGTTTTACAGATGTGAAACCCATTTAAAAGATACCTGAAGAAGCAATGGTCAGTGATAGCTGTAAGATTCTTGGGAGTTTTATGGTTGGGTAAGATGAAGACAGAGACTCCCAAACCATACAACTGTTAAGAAAATCTACAGTACCAGGGGTGGGTTGTCCCGCTATGAGCTGTTGGTCAAAGAGAGATCCTAGAGGTCCTCAAATTCACCAAGGCTATTGCCATTAATGTCGGTTGTACACTAGAAAGGTCGGTAAAGCCATGTTGCTGAAGACACTGCATGTTGTGAGCACAGGAGAAGAAGAGGAGATGGAACTGAGACTAAGCCAAAAAATTCCATGCCACTGGATGGATGACATTCATATTGCCAGAAGGCACTATGCAGATGGCTGGGAAAGAAAGGATCCCCTAGGATTCTACTCAACAATGGACCCCGTGTGCTGCACACTATGGACATTTCAAGCAATGCCTACAAGTGCAATAATGGCTCAACTAACATACATACAGCTGACAAATTTCTAATTGGATAAGGCCCACTCCTAGGGGTGGAACACACATTTGGTGCTATAGACCAGGTCAAAGCCTTGTGTCAAGAAAGGCTACAGGTCCTAATGGGGAAGCCATCAAAAGGATACTGTTTAATGAATATAGTACACCTACTGGGACATCTTCTAGACATTTGTATTTACATTCATGTTTGTTTAAATGTGTCTACTTCCTTCCATTTGTCTTTATAGTAGAAGAAACACCACTGAGACAGATCAATAGCCACGGCTTAAAGACAAATAATGGGGAGGCCCAAGAAGTCACTATCTTTATAGTCACTATCCCAAGTCTATAAAGAGGAGGGTCAACACAGAAGAACCATTTCGTCCATGCTTCCAAGTGAAGCCAACCATTGTAGAGCAGGACCTTTGACTTATCTTCACATAGGTGGAACTGGTAAAAGAAAGGAACCAGGGGCTCCTCCCAAGCCCATGTGACCCCTGAGGAACAGATCCTCAAACGACCTTAAGAGTAAAAATAAATCAGTTTATCTGGACCAACTGTATGGCCTTAAACATCCAAAAGGGAAGTATAA